GCTTCGTGGGGGTGTTCTAGCTACATTAGGGTAGTAGGGCTTCGGGGGTGTGTTCTAGCTACATGCTTTCCCGTTACGCTCCCGGGCCTCGTTCGCTTTTTGTGTCGTGTTTACCTGCTCTGTCTCCTTACCACGACCTGCAAGCCTTCAATTGTGAACGTGCCCCTATCCCACATGCCTAAATGCGGTAAATGGGTGTTGGGACAGAAGGCAAAGAGTTTCGGCTTTTGTGCTTGTTCTTCCAACCACCACATGCCCTAGACCACCAAATATTGTCGCTAAACCCCAAACCCCACGAAACAGGGACACCATGGCCAAGACCAAGGTACAAGGACAGGTACTTTCTGCCCTTGAGCTGCAGCTCCAACTTTAAGGCCATGTCCCCAATACCGATGGGAATGCAAAGGGCTTCGTCTAGTGTCTTGAAGGGATTTTGAGGGGGGTGTTATGGAGTTGTGGGGTTCAAGACGTTCCACGGATGCATGTGCGGGTTTAGGTCTTGGGGGTCGGTGTTGTGGGTTTGGAGTTGAAAGCTTACAGTTTTTTTTTTTTNNCAGGGGGGGGGGGGAGGTTGGAGTTGAGGACTGGCTGGGGTTTTAGGTCTTAGGGGCATGTGTTGGTCTAAGTTCTGTTTGCGGGGCCCTGGCTCCTGGGGTTGGGGCTTCCAGGTTGAGGAATCTTGAGTATCTCAGCCTGGGCATGTTAAACCTGAAGGATATATGTATAATGTTGAGGCTTTTTTCTTAGTTTTTCAGGGATGAGGGTGCATAAGGTCTAGGGTTTAGGGTAGGCTGGGAGGGATAAGTGGCCTCAAGATCCCTCCAAAATCCTCCGGAACTCTTCTGAAATCCCTGCTGGCGTAAACGCCCGAGCCCTTCTTTCGCCCCAGCAACATCCCTCAACCCTGCACTGCCCTAAACCCTAAAGCCTCAAGCCACTAAACCCTGAACCTAAACCTTGAACTGCCCTAAACCCCTACACTTGGAGGTTCATGGGTAGTTATAAGTGGGGTTATAAGTCCTCTAATTTGGGTTATAACTATAGTTACCCTACTTATAACCCCACATATAACCCATGAACCTCCAAGCACCCTGCCCTAGGCCCTAAACCCTCAAAAAAAAAAACCAAAACCCTGAACCCAAACCCTGAACTGCCCTAAACCCTAAACCTAAGCCCTGCACTGCCCAAAACCCCTACACCCTCCATCCCCGGGAGGTGTTCGAGGAAGTCGGCCTGGAGCAAACGAGTTTCCAGGCCTTCGAGGCTCAGATGGAAGCCTTGGTGTCATGGTGGCCCGGATCAAGAAATAGAGGATCTAGGGGTTCAGGGGTTGAGGGTTTAGGATCAAGAAATAGAGGATCTGGGGGTTCAGGGGTTGAGGGTTTAGGATCAAGAAATAGAGGATTTAGGGGTTCAGGGGTTGAGGGTTTAGGCGTTGAGGGTTTAGGATCAAGAAATAGAGGATTTAGGGGTTCAGGGGTTGAGGGTTTAGGGCTTAGGGTTTAGGGTTTAAGGTTTGGGAATTGGAGGGCACTTAGAGGTTCACAGGACAGGGAGGGTTGTAAGTTCGTTACCTGAAGCCACCCTAAACCCTCAAGCACACGCCCGACAAACCTTGCAAGCCCGAAAGTCTAAAAACTACACCCTAAACCCAAACTCCTAAACCCGAAACCTATAAATCCTAAACCCAAACCCCTCACCCTGAATCCGAAGGTACAAGGGCGAGGCCAATGGAGCTCTAGCAAATCGCCTGACACAGCTCCAAGGCGCCATGAAATCGAAGGAAGATGGCAAGGGAGCTAGGGGGTTTGGGAGTTTGGGGGGGTAGGGTCTCTGGGGATTCGAGGCTTTAGGGACCCGTTGCATGGGGGGGGGCCAGACATGAGGAAGGATTGCTGACGAAGCCTGGTCCTAATTCCAAAGCCCTCCGGCCTAACACCCCAAAAGCCCTAGAGCTCTACAAAGCGGGGCTGCTTTTTTTAGGAGGAGCTCCTGATGCCAAGGCGCGAGCACCCCAAAAGCCTTCAATGATTCTGCTCATAGGGTTTAGGGTGTTGGGGCTCAGTGTTGAGAGGATCCTATAGCTTTGACTACTGATAGGTTATATGGCTTAGGGAGTTTAGGAGCTTGGGCACCGTGCCTTTTAAGCCGAAACTGCCGAAGCCACGATTGGGCCGAGGATGCCCAGGATTGTATAGAAGAAACAGGGCCTGGGGTTTTTGAGTACAGGTTTTGAGGGTGCGGGAGGGGGGAAGTGGGCTGTTGGGGAAAATCAATGTTGTAGGGTTTAAGGGTTTACCGGGCATGACGGCAGGTGACGGCTTGGACGTTGAGGATGAGGCCAAGCTCTTTGACCTCGACTACGTAATGCATCACGGCATTGAACCAAGATGAACCCCACAGCCTGCAGTTGTATTTACTCCACCTTCGTTCGTGGAAAGATTTTAGGAAGGATCGGGTCTTGCACTTGCCAGGATTTCGGGTATGGGTCCATACGGCTATCATTGCTTCCTCACTGTCATGCTGGAACCACCCGTCCCCAAAGGACAGCATTCAGGACTCTGGCAGAGATTCTCTAGGGGTTTTGGGATCAGGTTTTGGAGTCGGCCGGCCTGCTTTGGGCTTCAGCATCCAGGGCTCCTCAGAACAAAGAAGCGAGGGGTCTTCGTCTAATGAAAAAAGGCGCATGAAACCAGAGGCCACCATAGCCGGAGAAAGGATCAACATTGCTCCACTTCTGGTCCGCTAGCTTTGAGCTGGTTCTACAACTATAATGTGATAGAGTCATGGACCATACACCCCTGAATTGAGTCGCTTTTGACCTTGCCTCGACCGAGTCCGCTCTTCTTCTTTGTAGTTTTGATCATCGTGATTGTTGCTTGTCTTTGGGTTTTTGCGACGATCATGAAGTTTCGTTCTTACAGAGCTGTCACGTTCATTTACCTGCTGCTGTGCCCTCTTGTAGTTTATACCCTCAAGGTCACGCTTCAACTGGAGAGTGACGTTTGCTTCTCGAAGCGCGAAATGCTAACTAGGCTCCCACACATCTCCCTATGATCCCTGGACGAAACATCAACGTTCTGTCTGCTGCCCAAGGAACCAAACAGCAGCTTGCCCGGACACTGACGGCCCATGGAACGTGAGTGTGCACACGGCCACAGCGCAGCCCGGCTGCCCTGGAGTTGCGAGTGAGCGACGCCTCAAAGCAGCGCTCCTGCTGACACTGCAGAAGTGTCGATGATACGAAGTCATGCCAAACATTACAAGCCCTTGCTGCCACCATTGCAAAGGCGCTGGAAGATAAGAAGCACTCGAAGCCTGAAATGCCATTAGAATCCCATTAGTTGCGGCGCTTCAATCTACGATGGAGGAGAGCAGCACACGTTACGTCCCTTCCTGCACCCCCGCTACCCTAAACTCTGAACATGTCCGCCCCGAAAGCAGGCAACAACCCAGCATCACTCAAACCGTAAGACCATCCGTTTGCTAAGGGACCAGGTGCTGTCCCACTGCCCCTCTGCGAAGTGGTGGCTCTCGAAGCTACAGACACTCTGATGTCATAGACTTCAGAGAGTGTAGGTTTTAGTATCATGGCTCTTCGCCCTTGATTTACAGTTCTCGATCCTATACCATATTGGCCATATTGCTGTTATCACGCCGGGTATCACGGCTGTTCATAAAGCCTCTCATCATTGCGACCTGTTCTAATTGCTCATTCATGCCTTTCCTTAGTTGTTCTGACTATTTGCATGCTTGCATGTTGGCTAGCACGGCGATACAACTGAGATGGTAATCGTGTGGATAGATGTCTGTATACATACACTTATATCCGCAGACATACGCCTACCAAACATATGTTTCTGCATAATATAGACCGTCCGGTGGCCGGTCAATCTTGTGATGCTGGTAGTAGCTAGCAAGGTTTACGAACCTCCGACGCTGGCTACTCGGGCTCCTGTTTTCAAGACACAATGCAAGAACGAGCTTTTCGACTAATTATCCCAGTCTCAAGCGTTTTGGCCGATTACCACAACTAGGCGAGGAACTGCCATCTGCCATGCGTTGCCCCAAGCCCGAAGCCCGAAGACAACCGTGCAACTGGCATCCCGCAACCCCGAAACCCTAAACCCTAAACCCCAAAACCCTAAATCCTAACGCAAAAGAGGAACTGGCATCACGCTATGCCCTTCACGAGCTTCATGTCCCCGGACGTCAATGCAGCCAAGTTCGCGCCCAAGGGCAAGGACCTGACATGGTGAGTTTCAGAGGTTACCTGGATACCTGGAACAGGATTAGGGATTAGGGTTTAGGGTTTAGGATACCTGGAGCCGGGATTGTTTGGAGAAGATCAGTGTTTGGTTTCAGAGGTCCCTCTTCTTACTGCCAGCGGGAGGACAAGGGGCAGGTTGACAGGGTGTTTTCGCGGATTGTGCAGGCCATACTTTGGTTGCAAAGTAGTCCTGAGGAAGCGCTTTCGACAAGGCCAAACAATCACTTCTGTTTTTGAAGTTGGATGCCCGCAGCACGCGTACCCCGAAAAGAGCTGTTCTTCCCTAAACCCTAAAACCCTAAACATCCCCAAACCCTAAACCCTAGAGCCATTTAGGGTTGCTGCCGGAAGCCTGTGCAAGCCTGAAGCTAGGCCACAGCTTCACAAGTGGCTCGCAGGAGCAGATTCTCATGTGCTTTGGCAAGCGACGCTCGGCTTTTGTAGCCTTGTTCTCGACTTCGGGCTGTGGAAACCCTAAACCCTAAACCCTACTCCTCGGCTTCTGTCAACCCCCGAAGCAGTTTGTGGCTGGATAGGATCACGATATTGATTGCACCACTGGCTTCAAGCAAAAAGTGTTTTCAAGCTGCAGTTCTTGTGTAGAATGCGCCATTCGCTCTTGCGACTTTCGTTGTCTTTCTCCCAAAACTTGCAGTGCAATTGTGCAGGCTGACTGATTTGTAGAGGCTTTTTGACTTGGGGCCGCGCTTGTCCTCATGGACTATGGCCAGGAGTTGCTTCACAGCTACACCGGCGTGAAGGTGGAACTCACCTGCTCACGGACCAGAATGCCATCGGCTGCCATGGGCTTTCTGGACTTCGCTTCATCGGCTTCGGCTGAGGGATCTAAGTTGTAGGTTTCTCTAGATTGTTAGAGGTGTTCAGGTTGTTTCAATAAGGGGCCCATGTTTTTGAAACTCCGATATCTTGACATCGGCATCAGCTGGAAAATTAGGAAGGGGGGAATTGCCGAGTTGGCAGGGGTTGAGGGGATTCTGGTGTGGCACGGCTCAGTTGCCAAGATCTGAATGGCCTGTGTCACATTCTACCAGAAGCCCCAGAAGTACTCTTTACAGAAGTCTCATGCAAACCCGGGCTCGCTACGACGAAAGTAAGGGCTACGGAGGTGCGTCCAGTTATGTATCATGTCCCTTGCCCTTCTATGGACAAAACCATCAGAAGCACTTCGACCAGTGCTGGAAGCCCCAGAGCCCAACAGCGGAATCTACGGTTTCTGGCTCAAGCTTGTCCCCTAAGCCCTATATATCCCTTGAACCATCACAAGCCCTTCTTCACGATTCCCAAACTCTGTAGAGACACCCTGTAGTAGATCGTTTGGGGTATGGGTTTCCATGGGTCACAAGCAGTAGATCGTTTGGGGTTTCCATGGGTAGCCAGCAGCAAGAACTCAGCTCCCTGCGAGGTTTTGGGACCTCGACACAGCGAGCCGAATGCTGGACCGGATTGTCAAGTTCCTAGGTTTATAAGGTCCGTTATGGCATAGAACGGACATCCTTGAAAGTGCAGAATGGCTGCAAACTGGGATTTGCCGGTAATGGACCTTATAATCCTAGATTCCCCAGTAGTACCCTTTGGTTTTGTCTCTCCGCTGTGTTTTTTTGGGGGGGTCCCTGATTTGTGAAGCAGAATATTCGGAAACCCTATAAATAGTCTCAACCCGAAACTGCCCTTCACCTTAAAACCGCGAAGAAGCCTAAGCCGTGAACTCTAAACCGTAAACCCTAAACCCAAAGCCCCTAACCCCTCGCTGGGAAGCCGGTGAGTCTCCTGGTGCAAAAGTGCCTTGGTGATGCTGACTTGAGGGCGGAGCCAAAAAGGAGTTCAAAAAAAAAACCTAACCCCTAAACCCTAAACCCGTAGGTACGTATGTTCAAAATTTGAAAAAGGGGGGTGGGAACCAAGGCTTTGGCGGCCACCTACGTGCCAGCTAGCAAGCATGGAGCTGACGATGCACCTGCGCCGCACTGCTTCCCTTTAGGGTTTATAGGGTTTAGGGTTTAGGGGTTTAGGGTTTATATAGGGTTTAGGGGTTTAGGGGTTTAGGGTTTAGGGGTTTACGGTTTCAAGGTTTGGGGTTTCTCTAGGGTTTAGGGGTGTATGGGTTTGGGGTTTATTTAAGGACTTTGAGGAGATTCTTAGGCGAGTGCATCGTAGACTTCGTAGGGGCTTGCAGAAGATCGGTCATGGTCCAAATGGTAGTTTAGGTCGAGCGTTTTTAGGGTTCAGAGTTAGGCCTTCTGATGATCAGGAGTTAGGGTCGGATAGAGGGTAGTTTGTGGCGAAATGGATACGAACACCTCAAACACACGATGATTCTTTGCGCTGGACAGGCGCTGGAGTTTGCATAGGGGCTCCAACAGGGTCGAGGGCCGAAACTTTGGTTTTCAATACCCATAGACCTTGGAAGGGGGGGGAAGCGTAGGAGCGTGGCATAATGATGGGGGCCTCCATAAGGAGGGAAGCAAACGACCTGCGGACGGTGTTTGTCAGGGTTTAAATCAGGGGACTAAAGGAGAGACCCTTGAAGGGACCCTTGAGGTTATGTAGGGGCTTTATGAGACTATATAAGGGGTATATAAGGGTTATATTAGGGTAGTAGGATTAGGGGGTCCCTTCTAGGGGTCCCTCCTATTGTCCCTTAATTAAAGTTCCGGCTCTGAAGCCTGTGCCAAGGAAGCTGAAGATTATGGAGCTGATCTCCAACATGAAGCTTGTCTGCATTTCATGGAATCCTTTCCTTCCTTGCGGCTGTCCTTGTAGAAACGGTTTTGGTCCCTAAACCCTGAACCCTGAATCCTAAACCCTAAACCCGGAACCCTAAACCCTAAACCTTGTAGCTACGGTTTTGGACATCGACAAGTCATCCAGGCATGGGTGCCTTGGTCGCCGACCGACTTTGAAGGGATCAGAGTGGCCGAGAGGGCCTCAATCCCCATAAATTATTTGAGGGCATGCGCCGTAAGTTAAGAACCCCAAACATTGTAGAACCCTGCCAAACCGTGGGTGTCGGGCTGTGCGACTAGACTTCGCAACAGGAATGAGCGCCTATTCGACGCACTCCCGGCCTTGCTGACAGAGGAGATGGCCCCAGATGAAGACTGGGATGGGACGCTGGGTTTCGAGTTTGGAAATGTGGTTGATGATGCCAAATAATTTAGTTTATTACATTACAAGTGTTGTCATTTCAACATGTCGGTGGTATGGTAGTTGAAGCTGAGTTCCTGACAAGAACCCCAGGAAGGAGCTGCATGCTTCGTCGCTCGGAGGTAGCCTTCTGCGTGGCATGTGGGATTCGATCGCCAAGAGCTTCTCAGCTCTTAGTGGTCAGTACACCCGCTTGGGGCAGCTGCTTGGGAGCTCCGTAGTCAAGTGGGTGGTCTGTCCCATCAAGAACACCACTGGACCAGCAGATTTGGAGAAACTCGATGCTGCGCTGGGGACCGAAGATGACACAGCGCGCTACTACGCCCAAATCGCGTACAGCAAGTGGACGGGCAAGAAAGACCTCTTGCCGGGTGAAGACTGCACTCCAGGAGGCGTAGCAGGCCTGCCGCGGACGATGGCTTGCAACCTGGCAATCATGCAGCAGGACATGCCGGAGCCCTACAACAATACTGATTTCATTTGCCCAGTACGGCCCTTCCTGCCAGCGAAGCAGCAGCTTGAAATCTTCCAGAAGAAGAAGGGCCTCTGTCCCTTGCGCATGAATGCCTGGCAGATGGACCAGGCATCCGACGTGTCTATAAGTATTTCATGTGTCAGTGTCGCTGTCCGTCGCCTTAGCTCCCTCTTACGCCAAAGGCATGCAGCTTCAGAGTTGCTGCTCGTTAGTCCGAAACACTGAACTACCCTAAACCCTAAACCCTATAAACCGTAAACCCTGAACTACCCTAAACCCTAAACCCTAAACTTTGGCTCCCAAAGTAAAAGCCCAAAGCATCCCGAAAGCCGGGGGCCTGACCTGCCCCTGACATCTTGTTTTCTTGCGAACTCCTGCAAGCCCAAATCACAGCGTCCCTGAATTCCCTAAACCCTAAATTCCTTAAATTCCTTAAAGTCCCTAAACCCTAAATTCCTTAAAATCCTTAAATTCCCTAAAGTCCCTATAGTCCCTATAAACCCTAAACTCCCAGCTGTAAACCGGAGGCTTCCTGGTACTACCGTGGCCGCCGGCCCCAGCGCCAACAGTTTGATTCTTGGAAAACTAGGGCCCAGAGAGCCCCCAAAACAAGGAATTGGGGTTCAGGGTTGGTTTGGGATGTAGGGTTTAGGTTTAGGGTTTATAGGATTTGGGGTTGAGGGTTTAGGGTTAAGGGTTTAGGGGATCTACGGTGAGCTCTAGAGGTCTTCCTGTTCTGATTTGATGTATGCTGGGTTAGTGAAGGACCTGACGCATTTTGTAACTGGGCCTAAAGACTCTCCTACAGAGGCAACTGGAGATATTAGGGTTGTGTTTAGGGCTTAGGGCTTTGGGTTCAGGGCTTAGGGTTTTGGGCTTAGGGTTTAGGGTTTAGGGTTTAGGGCTCAGGGTTTGGGGTTGCTTGCTTTGTCTTGTTGGTGATGGTGCACGCAGGAGCCTCAGTACGGAGCACGAGTACTGCAGGGCTCTGACTTCCGAATAGACTTCTTTGAGAGACCTTCTCCGGGTTTCCATAAATGCCCCCTAGAATCGGTAACCACAAATCGCACAATTCCACCGCCGTCATTTAGGCTTTACAAACCCTAGACCCCAAATCGATGCTCGCATGCAGCAAGGATCTGGTGGAGAACCCGCCGGCACAAGATTACCAGGCTGTACAGATCGTTGACATGATCAGTCGCCAGGACGCGGGCTTGCGCTCCTGGGGAACCGGGACTTACGTATCCCAAAACCCTGCAAGGCCTGCGGGATCTGCATGACTGTCATCTTCAAAGGCTCACAGTCTTCTATCACCCAGGGTACGGTACTTGTGCAACGTTAGACTAACCCTATGCTTCCAGGGACCTTCTTATTGGGTCCTTAAGGGGTCTAGGACCCTAAATATAAAGTCCTTGGAAGCATAGGGTAACCTTGCATGATGGCCTGTCGGCCTCAAGCGCTGGCACACAAGCTCCTGTGGTCAGAGAAGACCGAATGCCTCAATTCCTCGTTCCCTGGGTCGCTGGCTGGAGCCTTACAGTGTTCGTTCTTGGAGTGTCCCGAGGTGTTTGCACCCAAAAGTCATTCTGTTGATGTCGGCCCTTTCCGGAACCCGAAACCTTGCGCCCTGGGCTCCAAGCCCCGAATTCTCAGCCCGCCCTCTGTCTGCCCAAATCCTACCCGGAGCAGTTTAGGGTCCAGGGTTTAGTTAGTGTCTACCAACACCCCCCCCCCCCCCCNNAAGAGCAACCCTAAGCCCTAAACCCTAAACCCTAAGTGAAAGCGTTTAGGGTTTGGGCTTAGCCCCCACTCTTCACTAGGACACGACCTTCCACACTTGGCGGACCTTCGTCACCGTTGGCCTCGGCTGCACCGAGGACCTGCTACGACTATGACTGGCATTTTAGGGTTTGGGGCTTAGGATTTGGGATAGTTAGCATCTCATTGGGGCATGATTTCTAGGATTGTTCCTGCTTGTCGATCGTCGCTGTCGGTTCCAGTCTCAGGGCTGATCATTGTTGTGTGTGTGTGTGCCCACGGCTACGCGTCTCTCGTCTTCGGGACATTGAGCTTCTGTGATCGTTCACGGCAAGATTTTTTTGGAACACGAGCATAACAACTGCAATTCTTCATGGTGTTGTTCGATCTCCCAGGTACCCTCGCAATCCTACCACAGTACCCAATAGGCTCCAAAGTAGTTCCTTTTTGTGGTTCATATTTAGGATCCAATAAGGTAATAAATCCCAAAAAGGAACTACTCTGGAGCCTATAGGCACCTAGAACTGAGAAGCTTTCAATGGGAAGCCTAACTCCTCGACCCCAAGATGCAGCCAGAGGTCTTCCCCAGTTTATGGCTTCGGGTTAGGGTTTAGGGTTTGAAGGGTTTAGGGTTAGGGCTAACCATGTTTCAACCTCTTTCCATTCCTGAGCCCTTCGCACACCACCAATGACGCGGGGACTCGGGAGCCGTGGTTCCATCATGCTTCAAAAGCCTAAGCTCTGAACCCTAAACTTACTCTTTCGGGCTTCAATATGTTCTTCAGACGAAGCCAAAATCCTAGTCGTTCAGTGCTTAGGGTCTGGCTTAGGCTTCAGTGTAATCATGGGCTCGTCTTGTATAGGGCCTCGAAGAAAAGCCCAGAATCGGGTGAGCAATTCTGGGGTCGTCAGCTTCACGAAGCCAGCGAGACCGTCATCGTCGGGTCCCGCTTGTTTAGGGTTCAAGCGTTCAGGGTTTTGTATTCAGAGCCCAATTTCAAGTCCTGGCAGGAGGAGGCCACAGCAACGCCACGCTGGTGCAAGGATCCTGAGGTGCACTATGCCCAGACTTCCATGCGCCTTTGATCAAACGGTTTAGGTTGCTTAGTGCTTTCAAGGTTTGGGGTCTAGGGTCATGAATTGTCGGGCTGGGAATATCGTTGAGACACTGTGGTAAAGTATCCCTTTAGTCTAAAGCCAGAGGAAACTCCTGGTAGAGTGAAAGGTTGATACTGTTGTGAACACAACGTCGAACAAACACTTTTATTGATTCGACGGTCCTTGTATGCTTCGTGTCGCACACTTGTTTGTATTGATACAGTTCTTCTTGTTATCCACTGCTCCAACCAGACCCTAAACCCTAAACCCTAAACCCAAGGAATGGCATTGTGGATGCCATGGGACGGATGGGCCGTGGAACGGTACAGATGACGGCCCAGGCCTTGCACGCCGCGGGCGTGACGGAGGATCGAGGGGTTTAGGGTTTATAGGGTTTGGTGTTTAGGGTTTAGGGTATGACTGATCAGTGGCATGGTCGATTTTATACTCGTTACTTGCTCGTCAAGTATTCGCTACCATTGGCGGTAGCATCGCACGTGCTAGCAGACAAATCGTGCAGATGAGAATCAAAGCTGCAAGTTTATGTTGGGGGATGTCGGATTCCGTGTTTGTTTGGTTCAGAAAGTTTTTGAGCCTTCTGTTCCGCTTGCCGAGAAGAAGCCTACTTCCCTGACATCGTGATGTGCCTCCCAGTGAAACTGCTGTGTCTCTTGTGATTTCCATGCCTGTATTTCTTTGAGAAAGCCCTCTGTCCCTCAGCTAGCACACCACCATGCCCCGAAATACAACCGCCCAATCCGCCCGAAACCTGCCAAGCCCGACCCAAAACCTCAAACAACAAGCCAAAACGACCCCTCAACCCATAACCTTATGCAAAACACAATCTAAACCCCAGCCCCAAAATCTTAAACAGCAAGCCAACACAACCAGAACCTTATGCAAAACCTAACCCTAACCAGATAAGACATTACATAAATTTATGGAATATCCTACCCTATTTTTTGTAGAGCTTTATGTAGACTATTCACAAAAATCCAACATTTTGTAGTATAATTACATTGCAAAATCAGGGGGGAAATACATTATTGGATAATGTATTTGTCGTCTTGACTATTATGATTTAGGATCATTTATATCAGCATATTCTTTTTTCAATATCTTTATTGCTTTAACTTGTCCAATTAACTGCCTTTTCTGGCTTTACATCTGAATATTTAGTTTCGTTGTTCCCGTCGCTTTGACAGAGTATTTCAATCTGCTCAGTTAAATTTGAATATGTTGTTATTAAGACGCTATCTTGTTTTGCCATCGAATAAACTAATATCGCAACTAGTACTCAGGCGATCATCGCTATCAAAAATATCATTATACACTGCATCTAGCTTCCTTTAATTCCTTAATTTTATATTTGTGGAATCTATCTTTTCATGTCTTAAACTTCAGCATCTCGTGTCTTAAATACGGCTGACTCTGACCTTCTAAATAAGGTGCTTTTGTTCCAAACTTGTCTTCATATCCTTTATCGTATGAACTGTAGACGACCATACACTGACCCTCTCCTGATCTACTTTATGCTTTTTCCTGCATATTTTAATCTCGTCCCCGACATTAAGATCGGGATATTTTCCCTTAGACACTGCCATATCTGGCCTGATTTCGAGTTCAAGGGCCTTCTATACTCTTTGTTGGGGGCGCCTGCCCGGAAATAGATCGGCAAAGCCGTCAGGGCTTGTAACGTCCGGCAATGAACTGTTGGAAAGAACATTTTGGCCACCCAAGTTCTGGACCCCAAGCTTTGAATTCCAGCCCCAGGCCTGCGCCCCACATCCGAGACCCTAAACCGAAGCCCCCAAAAGCATGAACCGAAAAGCCCCAAAGGAGCCAAGAGCAAGAGCAAAAGCCTAGACTTTGGAGGATGCGCCAGTGGTGAACCATGCGGTTGGGCATCGCCTCTCTGAGTGGATCTACCACCAGGGGAAGGGCGTACAGGCCTGGGCGAAGCAGACCTCGAGCCTAGGAGTCATTGGTGACTTGTTGACCGGGTGTGCGTGATTTGTTTAAAGTATTTTGCATCACATAGGGTTAGGGGTTCAGGGGTTCAGGGTTTAGGGGTTCAGGGTTTGGGGGTTGAGGGCTTTAGGACTTAAGGGTTTAGGGGTTTAGGGTGAACCCCAAAACCATACGAAAGACGAGATAGCTGGTGAATCTTCATACTCCCCACAGTCCTAAACCCACCACTTCCTAAGGGGCTGATAGCAGCGGCCGTATAGGTACATGAAGTCTCAGGCCTAAGAATGGGGATTGCTTGAGGAACGAGTGGTTCGGCAAAGCCTCCAGTCGCTATGACAAGTTGCGGAAGCGAGCCTTTGCTTCGCAAGAAGCTGCGGAGCTGGTCCACAGCATTTCCTTTCAGAAGCTCTTGGACAAGACGGGGGCGGACTCGAAGAATAAGAAGAGGTGGGGGGTTTAGGGTTGAGTTGAAGGTTAAGCCTAGGGCCCAGAGACGTAAAGTGCACGTTCGTTTCCAAGGGAATTTGAAAATGGTCCACATCTTCAGTATGATCACTGGCTGAGTGTTTGCGACTTCCCCCAGGTATGATCGATATGCTGCCGTCACACCCTGCAAGACGATGGACGCCGAGACGGAGTTCACGTTGAAGTATGCTACTGCGGAGAGTGCCTTGCAACTTGCGAGAAAGGCCTTTCGAAAGTATGGAACAAAGAATGCGACTTGGCCCAACATCCCTAAACCCTAAACTCTAAACCCTAAACCCTAAAATGCTACAGAGACGTGAGCCGACGTGACAGTTAACACCGAGGGGCTCCAGGCTTCCCGATCGACGGATCCTGAACATCAACCGTGTAAATCGAGCAAAGTATCCACTGCACCCAGACATGTCTCTTTAAGTGCTAGAAACCAGAAATGTCCTTTTTTGAAAGAAACATACCCTTAGTGTGTGGCGTAGCCGCCCTACATGTACCCCAGGTCTCTAGTGGAATCCCTAACATCTCCAAGCGTCTTCAAACCCGTAAACCGACAACCGACGCTGCAAGACCCAAGCAAACCCACAGTCACGATATGATATTATGATCTTGGCTGTTTCTACTGTTGCTTCAGAATCCCTCTGAACTCACGCCGCTTACTTCACCCAACCCCGGGTCTCTAAACCTTAGTCCAGGACCCCTAAACCCTTAAACCCTTAAATCCTAAACCCTAAGCTCTAAACCCTATCTAAGCCCTAATCGGAACCCTGGCCCGGACTCGAAACTGAACCCCTGTTAAAACACCCTCGCGCTCGAGAAAGCTTTAGGCTTTAGGCTTTTAGAATGTCACATCGAATGCAGTTCCTCGTCCCTAGCGTAGAAGATAGACTGGATTTGCGAGCAAAGTCTTTCAAGGTCCGCAAGCTCTGTTCAGGGTTTGAGTTTTGTGTGGAACTGTCCGTGGTGTTTAGGGTTTAGGGTAAGTTTAAGCTTTGGAGGTGAGGGTATAGAAATGGGGTCTATGCAATTTACAGAGGCTTTGGGCTTTAAAGTTAGGGGTTAAGGCTTGGGGTTGTGGCGCCGAGCCTGAGCAACAAAAACAGCCCAGGTCGGACTGCACCGTGGCTTTATAGTCGAGCTGATGGGCCTGGCCGTGCTGAAGATGTCTGGGGTGCAGGCTTCGTTTTGTTTAGGGTGGAGGTGGGCAGGGTCTAGTCTAGGGGGTTGTTTCGGAGGTTTGGGTGTAGGGTCTCGGCCATAGGGTTTAGGGTCTAAGATCACATGTCATTTTTGGTGTACACATGTTATTGCTTGGGCATTGAGGCTGCGCCGTGATTATTTCTATGATTCCGACCAATGCGATTAGTATGCCTTTAGGCATGTAGCTGACCATTTGCACGGCGGCCAATGTTGATATTCACCATGGTGGAGCAACCACCGTGGTGTTGAGGGCTCAGGATTAAATTGTTCTGAGCCAGTGTCGGAAATGTGGGACCCGTGACATGTTTTTATCTGCATGATGACTACCTGAGAATAAGTACTACTACTATTACTGTTACTGTTCTGGTTACCGTTGCTATTGCCATCGCTATTGCTATTGATATATGGGTATCATTACTATATGTTATTAACGCATTGTGACGTGAGGTTTTGCTCGACAGAGCAACGTAATCATCAACAATCCCAGGAGCCGCGAAAAAGGGGAGACAGAGTACCAGTCAGTATATTGTGATTGTCAGAGCAGAATTTGGAATGGTGGTGGGGGTGGTCATGGTGGATCGGCCTGGGTGCCCCCGCCTGGTCATCTCAGGCTCTCTCGATTGAGGCTCCGACAAACCAGGCCCTCAATCCCTGCAACATCTGTGCCACCCCCGCCCTCCATGGACCCCTGGGGTGGGCAGTGGCGTAGCACCATGTAGCAAAGCTAAGCGTGGGAGTGGGGGCCCTGGAGAAAGGGCCTGCTCAACGCCCACCAGCAGACGCAAACATCCGCCACATGAGCCATTCCCCACAGGCTCAAGGGGAACAGATTTTGTTTTGTTACATCCTTACTCGAATGCCGTCTAGGCCCTATAGGGTAGTGCTAGCAATATCAACTGCAACAGCAACCCAAATCGGCAGACCAATATCAACTGCAACATTCTTCGTCGGACAGCCCCTGGCCTCCCAACCATTTTAGGGTCAAGAGATTCTTTGGTAAGCCTCTGCTCCACCAATGCCAGCTCTAGAACGCAAGGCGTCCCTACGCCATCTTTGCTGAATCATTATATTATCTCTCAAGCCCCCTTGACCCTCCGAACTATTTTTTCATTACGTCTGGAACCTCATCGTAAAGTCTATCCCCGATGCAGATTTCAACATCGGTGTCGTCGCACAACTCCATAAATGTACAACTCCAAAGACGCGCAACCAGCCCTGTTAATAACCCTCCCAGCATCCTCTCACGATGGGGAGGAGCACTTCCACACGAGTATCCGCAGCACGATCAACTCCCCGGCCCTCGTCCTCTTCGGTTTATTTTGGCTATAGTTATAACTATAATACTAAATCCGGCAGGCAGCTTGGGTGGAATCCCACGCGCTCGTCCGCTCAACTGACCTCGGAGCAGAAACGCCTCGCCCCTGGCTCGCTACGAACCTCGAAACGAGCAGAAGTTGGAACAGTTAAGTAGTTACTGGGTAGTTCTTGCTAGTGGTTACACCGCCTGTCACTGCTGGCATAGTCCGAGTAGCAGGAGAAATAATAGTCGTGGTAGTAGTAGTAGTAGTAGTAGTAGTAGTGGTAGTAGTAGCAGTAGTTAGTTGTTGTAGGAGTAGGAGTAGGAGTAGGAGTAGGAGTAGGACTAGGGTATATAGCGTTTCTATAAGGCTTCTATAAGGTATCTAGACCTTCTATAAGGCTCCTGTAAAGGTAACTGCCCACCTGAAAATGTCCTAGATAATACGGTGTGTACCAAAGACCCTATATTTTCAAATACCAATGTACCAATATACCAATATACTAATATATAAATATTAAAAGGTTCCAACATGCTAACAGACTCCGGCCAGGACACAGGAGTATGACATCTTGGGGTTGGAGAGAGTGTACTAACAAGATAGCATCGCCCCTCAAATACGAAGTTGATGTCCAAATCTGCCAAAACGCTATAGGACCTGCGAAACTTGATTTTGATTTTTTTGTTTTTACCCAAGGCGTTGCATGGTTTTTGATTCCAGCTACGTGCCGTTCTAAAGCAACTACACGGCCGCCTGGGGGTCCTACCCCTGCGCGCTTAAAGGCGAAATTCGGTAGCGAAAAATCGCCATAAACGTACTTTCAAAAATTCAACCACGTTTGCCGTGGCTATGCAAAACCTAGGTTTTCGCTCTGGAAGCAGAAACCGGGAAACCCATAACAACCGTATGCGCCCCTCAAATACGAAGTGGATGTCCAAATCTGCCAAAGAATTGCAAGAATTTCAAGATTTCCAAGAATTCCAAGATTTCCAAGATTTCCAAGAATGCCAAGAGTTCCAAGAATTCCAAGAATTCCAAG